TCCAGGCTGAGATATTAGCGGTATACAAGTGTATCAAATAAATAAATAAATAAATAAATAAATAAATAAATACTTCAGTTGGCTATTTCTTCACAGCAATCTCTCCCAGACCCAAATCACATTTCATTCTATCTTGGACTGGAAAAGAATTTCAGTGGCAGAACTGGCTAACAGAGGGAGCGAAATAACTTTTCTTTACAAATGTACATGTTCACTCGCTGCCTGTGCTGTCTTCGGAAGTATGTGGGGCCAGAGACTCAAACATTTGTTGAGCCTTAAAATAGTTTTTGAAACACAATTTCAGATGGCGACAACAATCTTTTTAGTTAGGGGAGCTTCAGTTTCCAAGAAAAGGAGAAAGAATACAGAAGTCTCACAGACATCCAGTCTAAGCTATTCTGTGTGCCAAAGATCTGTGTTAGCTGGACAGCTGGTAACATTTGCTTTTTGTAAGTATGCATTTTGACAGTTGGACTTTGCATGGCTTCAAGTAAGAGAGAGGGATATGCCCCATAAATCATGCTGTGGGGAAGGATGGAAATTCCTTGGGGAATAAAGTGGTGTGGAAGGGTTTTCCTACCATTATACAACTTTGGCACTTTAGAATTAGTGTTCCCCAAGGTTAACAGCTGAGCACCCCTTGAACTACACTGGTCTCCATTCTGAGGGAAAGTGAAGCCATCATTCGGTTGCCTATAAGTTATATTGAGTTACTTTATGTTATGTTTTGTTTTGATTGTTGTTTATCTGTTCTTTGGCATTGAATGTTTGCCATTTATGTTATTTCTGTAAACTGCCCTGAGTTCCTTTGGGGAGAGATGATGGGTTATAAATTATTATTATTATTATTATTATTATTATTATTATTATTATTATTTGAAACACAACAAGATGAGTCCACAGCAGACAAGATCACTCTGCTGGCTGTTGTATTGGATCACACGTCGGACATTTCCCAAGTGTCTAGGACTGTGCGATGTATCGGCGAATAACGCATGCAGATCCCAGTTAGGTGGCCTTCTGCAGCTGGCAGATGGTAATTTTGTCAGTGCCGATTGTGTTTAAGTGCAGGCCAAGGTCTTTAGGCACAGCACCCATGTGGCGATCACCACTGGGACCACCTTTACTGGCTTCTGCCACAGTCTTTGTAGTTTGTCCTTTAAATCCTCATATCGTGTCAGCTTTTCCAGTTGTTTCTCTTCAATCCTGCTGTCACCTGGGATTGCAGCGTCGACAATCCATACTTTGTTTTTTAACATGATCGTGAGATCAGGAGTATTGTGTTCCAAAACCCCAGTCTGACTTAATTCGGAAGTTCCAGAGGAGTTTGACGTGTTCATTTTCTGTAACTTTTTCAGGTTTGTGATCCCACCAGTTCTTTGTTGCAGGCAGATGGTATTTGTGGCACAAATCCCAATGAATCATCTGAGCAACGGTGTTATGCCTCTGCTTGTAGTCTGTCTGCACGATCTTCTTGCAGCAGCTGAAGATGTGATCTATTGTTTCATCTGCTTCCTTGCAGATCTGTCGTCGACTTTTCAATTCTGGCTTTGATGGCATTGGTTCGAATGGCTTGTTCTTGGGCTGCCAGAATCAGGCCCTCTGTCTCCTTTATCAGAGTTCAATTTGTGAGCCATAGCCATGTTTATTCCTTGTTGATTTGGCTCTCAGTTTTTTTCCAGGAACTGTCCATGGAGAGCCTTCTTTTGCCAGTTTCCTCTTCTGCTCTGGATTGTGTTTTTACGGTATTCACTCTTTGTCTTTTGCACTTTAAGCACTTTACTACTATTGACTTCCCTCAATGTTGGTTCTTGACTGCCTTTCGCTTAATTTGCCAGTGCATGTTTCTCTTCTTCTATCATTTGTTTCACTTACAGAAGCCCTCTGCCTCTTGATTTTCTGGGCAGGTAAAGTCTGTCGACATCACTATGTGGGTGTAATTCGTAGTGGATTGTCATCAGTTTTCTTGTTTTTCTGTCCAGATCATCCAGCTCTGCTTGTGTCCAGATTATTATTATTAGTATTATTATTGTTGTTGTTGTTGTTATTACTACTACTACTACTACTACTATCAAGTGTCATGCAGCTGAAGCTGGCTGATGACTGGTAAGAGAACAAGTAAATAAATGCTCCCCGCAGTTGACATCTTTGCAGCTGTCTCTCTGTGTATGAAATTGTTTAAAAAACATCTGGCCCAATTAATAAAGGATATAGTCTTTCCTCCCCTCTCCCCACATGCCATGGTGCAGGGTCGATACCAAGAAAAGTGTCACAACTGCTTTAGAACAGCAGGCGCCTGGTCCTGAATTTGAAGCCAAGCTGCATAAGCTATTTCAGTGGACACCCCAGCTTAGCCCTAGCCTTTTGCCATCTGTTCTAATTGTGAAATACAAAGGCAGGGAGCATCTAGCAAGTTTTGGAGGACAGTTGCTTCTGTTTCCCGTGGCCCTGCAGCCACTGTGCTGCCTTCCTCCCTTCTACTTTTTGGACTTTGTGAAGGAGCCTCATCCATCATTAGTTGGCTTAATATTCAAACAGAAGAGCCAATTAGTATGATTTAATACAGAGCCTTTCTGTGACTCAGATAAAAGATTAGATACATCATTGCAGAAACACTGGGCATTGCCTATGATATTTACGTCTCAGTGATGGATAACTGTATTTTCAGCTGCATTGCACTTCTAGCACAAAAGCATTTGGAACTGCTGCTCTGATGATTACTTTCTGGTCTGCATAAGGATATGCATGTTGCCGCCCAAGGAGCAAGTGGGGTCAGCCTTTCATTCAGACTTCTTGTAGATTGATTCTTGGTCCATTGGGGCTTGGCTTTAACCATAGCAGTGACAATAAAGAATGGAGCAAACTTCGTGATTCTAAGTTAATAATAATTATTATTTTATTTTTTTACCCTGCCTCCATCTCCACAAAGGGACTCGGGGTGGCTTACGTATGGCACAACGTGCATAAAACAACATATAAAGTAAACACACAATACAATACAGGATAAAACTAATAGCAAATAAAACAATAATTTAAACTTAAAACAGCGCCCAAGTTATCTCCACTCTTTATTGCCACTGCTTGTTCATAGAGTTGGGAAGGACTTCATGGACCATCTAATCCAGCCCCCTGCCATGCAGGATTATACAAAGCATTCCCAAAATATGAGTATCCAAAAGGAGAGTCCACCAATCTATTCCATTGTTGAATAGCTCTGATTATCAGAAAGTTCTTATCAATGTTTCAGTTGAATCTTTGGTCACTTTGGTTAATTGTTCATGTCTTAGTCTCTGGAGCAGCAGAAAATATCCTTGCTTCATCTTCTGCATGACATCCCTTCAGCTATTTTAAAATCACTATCATTTAGAGATAGCTATCACATCACCTTTCAGTCTTCTCTTCTCCAAGCTAAACATACCAAGCTCCCTAAGCTCATAGAACTTGATTTCCAGACCTTCCTCTGGACACATTTCAGCTTGTCAGTATCCTACTTGAACTTCCCCCTGGTATTGATAAAATACCAGTTTGCCTCTATGATGTTGCTCTAAGCATGTGACCAGAAAACTGGCCCTACAGTTCATGTATCTTGAAACAAAATCGGGAGGGAGTAGTTGACAAAATGATGGGCCCATTAGATCTGTCAAAAGTAGTGTTTCTTCAACTGATTCTGTTAGCTTCTCATCTGATGTTTGGAAATATTTCAGAGTTGACGTGTTTGCTTTGCTGAACTGTAATATCTAATAGTCTTCAGCACCCTCTGCTTTGAAGTGCATTGTCATAGTTGGTTCCAATGAAGTTAAAGCAAAATAACAGAATATGGCTGCCTGGAGGGTAAGAATGGTCTTGCATGCTGTAGATGAAAGCAAGAACTAGCCAGGTTACCAGATATCAAAGGATGAGTCCATGACTATAGAGGCCATGTCCTTTTCCTTGTGCACATGTTCGCCACCATGCCAGGAGGATAGAGGGAGCTTGTATAAAAGTTCCATGCATGTGGTATGTTTAAACCTGTTTTGAAAAGATGCGAGTCATATCCTGCATACTCCTCTGAGTCACAGGGCTGGAGCCCAGATGACTATGGTGGGGAGAGATGACAAGGGAGGGCCCTGTGGCATTGGCCCCAAAGGCAAAAGGAAAGGGCAGTCGAACAAGACACAATGCCAACCCTATGTTTTCAAAGTACATATGAATCATATCCTCTGGTTCCAAAATTAACTTAGAATTGATGAGATTTGATGTGCTTGTACTATCTTCTGTCTTTTTCTTGGCAACTGTGAAGATTAACTATATGTACACACAATGATTTTTAGCCATATATCCCTAGAATCTAACCTAAGCTTATGTCTCCATGAAAGTTGGCCTGTTTCATTATCTCTATCTTTTTTACTGTTCTAACTGGGTACTTGCAATATTTTTACAAAATCAGCTCAGTACTGGAATGTGTGTGTGTGTGTGTGTGCTTTCTAGTTGCCTGTCAGCCTCTGGCGACTTACGGATTTCATACCCAATTTCATTCTGGAGACCTGATGAATTTAATACTGAAAGAGAGTTGTATGTCCTGTGAAGTACTATTAGGGTGTCTTCTTGCAGTAGTTCTGCTTGCAAATTGTCAGTCCAGATACATAAATAGCGCTTCATTATCTTCATTACCTTTTACCTAGTTCTTTCATCAAGAGATGGCTCTCACAACACCACACTTACATTTCCATAAAATAAACAAAGCTTGAGGTTAAGCATCTTCTCATGTAGGTGTCAACTCTTTCTGCCAATTAAAATGTCATGACAAATCATGATCTGTACTAAGTTGGAATAAAGTAGATTGGAGAAGGGAATCAGGTTTCCAATTTGTTTCAGTTCATCTAACTACTAAGAGTTAGAACTACTGTCTTTGGACTAAAGTGAGGAAATAAGAGTTAGGTATCATCCGTATACTGTGTCAGCACCAAACCCCAAAACTCTGATATCCATGCAGGTTCACATCTATCCCAAATAGCATGGGGTGCAAAAACAGAACATTGTGGGTCAGCACAAGCCACTTTCTCGGCTTACTCTTCCAGGAAAGAATGGGCCCACTATAAAACAGTACGTCAAGTCCTATTCCAATGAGGTGGCCAGAAAGAGTGCCATGAGGAATGGTATCTAAACAAGCAGCGCCTGTAGGAGTAACTCTGTCCAGTTCTCAGAAATGGTCATCCCACAACGCAGTGGTTCTCAACCTGTGGGTCCCCAGGTGTTTTGGCCTACAACTCCCAGAAATTCCAGCCAGTTTACCAGCTGTTAGGATTTCTGGGAGTTGGAGACCTAAACATCTGGGGATCCACAGGTTGAGAACCAATGAGTTAAAGCCATTTTCTGTCCTGTAACAGGGCTAGATGGAAATAAATTACAATAAACAGTCTTATCCAGGAACACTATAAGCTTGGGAGCCACCATTTCTTGCTCACAGTAATGTTTTGCAGCGATTATTCCATTGTATTTGTTTTCAGAGCTGCGAAATCAAAAAGCAGAAATCCCAAATACAGGCTGCCTTAAATGGCCCTAGAATTGGGATTGAATAGTGGTGGTGGATTGGCACATTGTCGTAACAGACATGTTTTTTTTTTTTGTTTTTTTTTTTTTTTGTCTGTCCAGAAAGCTTCTGTAACAACAACTGGGAAGAAACCTCGAGGGCGACCCAAAAAAACAGTAAGTTTTGTTTTTGTTGTTAAAAGATTAATAGCATTCCTCTGTGAGAAGATACTTTGATGCTTTCGTTATCTAGGATTTTGCATTTCAGCCTATTTTTGAATAGAGGTCTCTATAGATGGAAAAATATACTTAATAATAATATACTTTATTTATATTCCACTCTATCACCCCTGGGAGACTCAGGGCAGATTACAAAACACATATATAGCAAACATTCAATGCTGCTATATAATAAACAGGACAGGCAATACATAAACAGAGGTAAAAGCTTTTCCCATCGTTTTCCATTTCTGACACCTGGAGGGTGTTCTCGACTCCAGCTAAGGGGAGTGCTGTCGATCCACTTTCCATGCTGAGGAGCTTTTGTCATCCGCAGACATCCTCCCGATGTCCTTATGGGCACTTTATTACCTCCCCACTTAAAGCGGTACCTATCTATCTACTCACATTCTAGGATCAAGAGAGTAGATGTATTGAATGAATGTCATATTAATCTTTTATCAAGGATTGAACAACTTCTGTGGCTGTTCTTCACGAACCTGAAGTTTTGTAAACAGGGTTGCCTCTCATTATCTGTGCTTTGCTGAAATGGCTATGAGAAATGGCACAGAATTGTTTCAGACCCTGTGCTTGAAAGGGTTAATTGATTCCCTTTCATGTCATTCTGTCTCTCTCAGTTTCACCCACTCACATAATATTTGTATCTGGAAGTGGGATGGTGCATGCCCAAAGATAGTAGAAAGATGAAGCAATGCTGAAAGTGAACCAATGTGCATTATGTCTTATGGGAAATATATACTCCCCTTTATTTCAGAGACCCATAAGCAAAAAATCAAAAAGGTTGTTTACTTCTGCCTTAACACATCATTTAAAAATGCTGGGGGGGGGGGGGGGGGGGTGTGGATAAGATCCAAGGCACTAATTGTGTGATATTGGGTGGCCCTCTAGTGTATCAGATGGTGTGTTCTTCAACTATCAAGAACAATGCTACAGGAAAGGAGATTCCACCTGAACATTAGAGAGAACTTCCTCATTATGAGAGCTGTTCAGCAGAGGAACTCTGCCCTGGAGTGTGGTGAAGGCTCCTTTGGATTATTTTAAACAGAGAGGCTGGATGGCCATCTGATGGGGATACTCTGAATGTGATGTTCCTGCTTCTTGGCAGGGGGTTGGACTGGATGGCCCATGAGGTCTCTTCCAATTAAGTGATTCTATGCTGCAAATCAGCAATTAAATGATGTTTTTCTGGAAGCTTTTTGTGCTGGGAAGGAGAGCTTCTTATGTCTGTTGGTGGAAGCACAGAGAGGGTGTCTGATGCCAGTTTAACGTATTTCTTTCAAGATTGCTTGTGTTTTCCCTCTGTGGTATATTTGGTTTGAAGGCAAAACTATCATGTTGGCATCTTCCCTATATAATGTTTCAATTTACAATTATTCCTAGTGTTTCTTTCTTTATTGCCCAGAAGTGAGTAACAGGAAGTTGCTTGTTCTTCCTTAGCTGGCTCAGATTTGGTGTTACCACTGTGGCATTCTTGCTCAGTGAGTTTCAACCAGTTTCATCTGGCTTTGATTATTTATACTAGCCACAGCATTTCACAGCCCACTAAGGTGTTGTGGTGTGGATTTAGGAATCCACCAACGTAACTGGCTCCTCCCACACACACACACATATACACACACACACCCTTCAATCAGAGCATACTGTATTAATCAGGACCAAATCTCTCATGTGTCCTTATCTGCCATTTGGGTGATTTTTGTTGCAGATTGTTCCTTCATTTAAGATTTGTGTACCTTCTTTCCATAGAGCTTCTAGTGAGTTAATTCAAATAATACCCTGCTTTCGATTCCATTTGCTTAAAGTTTATTTATTTATTTAAAGTATGTATATTCTGCCCTTCTCACCCTGCATGGGACTCGGGGCGGATCACAGTGCACATATGCATGGCAAACATTCAATGCCATAGACACACAACATATATAGACAGACACACAGAGGCTATTTAACTTTCCAGGTTAGTGAGGGTATGCTTTGAATTCTGGCCACCAGGGGAGCTGTCACTTCACCGTCCACTTGTGATACCGATGGAGTACTTCCTCATTCTTTTGCACGCTGCTGGAGAGTTTTATGGCATCATAAATTAGTTAAATTAGCCTCCCTACATAAGCGGTACCTAAATTTCCTACTTGACAGATGCAACTGTCTTTTGGGCTGCAAAGGTCAACAGCAAGCTAGACAAATGGTCAACTGGCTTTGAACTGATGACTTGTCAGTCAGTAGTGATTTTAATGCAGCTGACTCCCAACCAGCTGCGCCACAACCTGGTCCCAGTTAGCATACTCCTCACTTTATCTTCACAGTAACCACATGAGGTAAATCAGGTTGAGCAAGTAGTTGATGCCAGGGCCACCCAGCAGATGCAAACATATAATACACCCTGTAAGAAGTTTGTTTTTTTTCCTGTACATTTACAATGTTATTCTAGCATATCTAGAATATTAAAATAGGCTTAACCAGTACCCCATCATTTCTTTTCCAGCATGCAGCATGAGGTTCCAGATTTTAGAGGCTCTTTGACCTGCTAATACAGCTCCTCCCTCAGGCTAAGGGTTTACTGGGTAGTAGCAGCAGGCAGCTACAAGTCACATTTTAAAAAGTCAAAATGATTTCAGCCCAGGGTATTATGGGAACGTTAAACTCCTCCTGTAAGTTCCCTTTTGAATTGTGCATTTTTAATATTTCACCGGGTCCCAGAGTGTGACGCAGGAATAAACACATGATCGCTAAGACACACTGCAAAGTGGTATATCATAGCTACCTAGTCTTGAAAACTCAAAAGAACAACTGATGGACATAACACTATGCTCTGAAATAAGAGTGGACTTTCATATGTTTTTGCTGAAGAGTCACATCAGACCTAGCTAGTGGACCCAGTTGTGAGATATTATGGGAGTTGCAGGCCAAACACATCTGGAGAATGACCAGTCTCTACTGTAAAACATACTTTTTATAGACTTATGAGTTCAGAAGGGAAACAACGTAATGTGGCAGCTTTAAAAAGCCAGTGGGTTTTTGGCCTGCATAAATAGGACTATACTGTCTAGATCCAGGGAAGTTATGCTACTCTATTCTGCCTTGCTCAGACCACACCTGGAATCACACTGTGCCTTACAGGTGCATTATATAAACTGTTATGTTTATTCATATCATGATCTGAGTTCTGGGCACCATAGTTGAAGGAAGATGCTGACAAGCTGGAATGTGTCCAGAGAACTAAAATATCAAGGGTCTGGAGAACAAGCCCTATGAGGAGCGGCTTAAAGAGCTGGGCATGTTTAGCCTGCAGAAAGGAAGGCTGAGAGGAGACATGATAGCCATGTAGAAATCTATGAGAGGAAGTCAGAGGGAGGAGGGAGCAAGCATGTTTTCTGCTGCCCTGGAGACTAGTGCGGAACAAATGGCTTCAAACTACTAACAAGGAATGGGGGGCGGGGGGGGGGCTGGAGGGGCTTCACCCCCCCCCCCGAAATTCTCATGGTGGTCCAAAGGCCTTACTGGTACATTATTTAAACTGTTATGTTTATTCATATCATGATCTGATCACCATGCTCAATATATCCCATATGCATAGGGGTATTGGGTTAACAATACAAAAGGTTTGCTAGGGTAGACCCTCTTTCACTCAGACTCAGCCCCCCCCCCCCCCCCAACCCCACCTCCCCCTGAATCAAAATCCTGGCTATGGCCTGACATTGAGGAAGAACTTCCTGACTGTGAGAGGTTCAGCAACGGAACTCTCTGCCTTGGAGTGTGGTGAAGGCGCCTTCTTTGGAGGCTTTTAAACAGGCTGGATGGCCATCTCTTAGGGATGCTTTGAATGTGATTTTCCTGCTTCTTGGTGAATGGCCAGTGAGATCTCATTCAACTCTATGATTCTATGAAACAGACCTACCCAGAAAGAAGGAAGTGGTTTGTGTATGTTCAAGGGACTTTTTGACTGTGCTGTTGGATGCACACATGAAAAGTATGACTTAAAAAGAAACCTCAAAATGGCTAGACATGGATCTGTATACTTACAAGATGTCAATAGCAGTTGAGTTTATACTTTAGGAAGAAACTTGTTTTCTTCCAGATGTTTGCCCCAGTTCTCATCAACCCCTCAGCATAACTAGTGGTCAGAAATTGTAGGAGTAGTACTTCCTACCAGCATACGTTAGCTACCAACTCTCCAGAGTAATTTGCATTGTCTGGACATGAGTCACATTGCATGCCAAAGACAAGAGATTCTCATCTTTGCTGTTTCCTCATACTCTTAGGGAGAGGAAGACACATTGGTGCCCAATCACAGCAATTCCACATTCTCATATTTCACCGCTGATTCCTATGGGCTCACTTTAACTGCAGAAGATAAAAAATAAGGGAGGTTGAAAGAACAAGAAATTGTTCATCAGTTTGGGCAGACTTGGTGACTATGGTGAAATGTGAAATACTGCAGCATTTTGGAGGGCCTAGAGCAGGGGTCCTCAAACTTTTTAAACAGAGGGTCAGGTCACAGTCCCTCAAACTGTTGGGAGAGCCGGATTATAATTTGAAAAAAAAACATGAATTCCTATGCACACTGCATATATCTTATTTGTAGTGCAAAAAACACTTAAAAACAATACAATAATTAAAATTAAGAACAATTTTAACAAATATAAACTTAGTAGTATTTCAGTGGGAATCATGGACCTGCTTTTTGCTGATGAGATAGAATTGTTGTTGTTGCGTGCTTTCAAGTTGTTTCAGACTTAAGTTGACCCTGAGTGAGGGCTGGGTAAATTACCTTGGAGGGCCATATCTGGCCCCCGGGCCTTAGTTTGAAGACCCCCCCCCCCCCCCCCCCCCGCCTAGAGAGAACTTCTCAATCCCCTAGTATTGGGGCCGGGGCCTGTCGGCTTCTTCTGAAATGTGACAAATAGTTGTGAGCACCATCATGAAACGAGTGCCTTGGGGAC